ACTTGAGAAGCAGCGGCGCACCACTTGGTCTTTTGGCTTCAAAGTCGCCACCCCGTGTGATCTCGGCAAATAAATCTCCTCCCTCCCTCCACCGACGATCGCTTCGGCAAGGGCAGTGCGAGAAAGCGAAAAAAAGAGACAATTTTCCGCGCGCGTGCCGTCGGCAGTTTGGCGTGCGGTGTCGGTCGCTTTTATATCGACCTGCTGTCTGCTCGGCGGCGCGATCACGCGTCGTCGCCGTCCCGCTTTCATCTCGCACCGACCGCACACGATTGTTTCCGATTTATTAATAATAAAAGCGCCCTTCCGACTCCACTCGTTCGCACCCCGCCTTTGGCTGACTCGAGCACCAGAGGGCAAGGCCGGAGCGATTTTTCACGCCCGCTCGCTAATCCGCAGCCAAGCGTTTTTGTTCCTGGCCGCCGCGCTTCGGACCTGCATTCTAACAGGTCAACGCCTAATTGCGTTAAAACTCGGGACGCGCACAAACACAGCCCATTTTCAAATTGATTGGGAGTGTCAAAGTTTAATATAATAAGCGTTTCTTTGTCTTACTTTATTAAAAAAAAACCTATATGCATATATTCTAGAGGATTTGCTTTTTTTAAATTGTTTTTGCATCGCTTATTTCTAAATTGATACATTAAATTTGGCATCAACAAAAAACAACACAACGGTCAAAGCAGAAATCAAATTAATTAATCTTATCAAATTTTAATTTTTAATAAAAATTCAAAAAGATTGCTAGTTCGTGATCAAAAAGATCTATATAAAAATATTCAATTTTAAAGAAATTTCAAATAAATCTCTTTATTTTAATTCTGGATTGACATCTAAATTTTAACAACTTGTTTACAATTTGCTGTCTCTGACAGGACCTTTTAGATATTTATCTTTTCCGTTTAACTTGGAGAATGAAACTCCTAAATTCTTCAGCTTAAACCATCCCAAGCTCTTTAAGAAAAAGCGCCCGCTTCTTTCACCCTTTCGTCTAATCCTTTGATTCTCTCGCCCTCTTGAGCCGAAGAATTCCGGGCTCGCGAAAGTTAGGGGCGAATTCTCATTGCGACGAGAGCGAGCGAGCAACATATGCGAGAGTGTTTGGCGGCGCAAAATCGATGAACACGCGGCGCATAATTCGCCGCTTCCTTCCGCGACATCTCTTTGCACCGAGCAAGTGTTCTCGTCTGTAAATCGGCCTAGCGTAATTCGAGGTCCATCAGCAGGCGTACGTGGCGAGAGAGAAAGAGATCGAGGTATGCGTCTTCGCATCAAATCTGCGGATAAGAGCGTGCAAGGGGTGGAGGCGTGGCGAAGATGCTGGTTACCATAGATACCCGGCGTTACGTCACACGCAGATATGCCGTTAAAAAGCAGCAAGGGTGCCGTCGCTCTTGAAACACAATCACAATATCAAGTGCGCCCGAGACCATCCGACCGACCGACATCAAGTAGTGCGCGTGCTGCCGGCGAAAAGCCAGACAAAAAGAAACGGCCTGGCAAAATGCTCTCTCCGGCTCGGCTGCAAATAATCTGGAAAATGGCCAGTATCAAAAGTTCACCCCAAATGCTCTCTTTCAACATTTCAAACGGAAATGGCCAAAGTTAAAAAGGGGTCTCTTTGCGGAATTCCAATTAAAGACCTAAAGTGAAAAAGAGAAACTAAAATTATATTAATATAAACGTAATTATTCAAAGAATTTCAAGTTTCCTTTCTTGGATTAAAAATGAAACATAATAATTTTATTGAGATGAAAGTGAGGAAAGAATATTAAAATAAATAAAATAAAAAATACCCAAATTGTTATGAGATTGGAACTTGCCTTCCGCAAGCTCAAAAAAAGGGCTCAAAACCCTACCTAAATGTTATGGTAATAAAGATTCCAACTTTTGATGGAAATATTAAAAAAAAAAATGCATATTGACTATTAAGATATTATCTTCCTCAAACTGTGAATTGATGTGAAATTTTTTTCAATTTTGGTCGCGCCAATTTTGAGAAAAAACAACATTTTAGGAAATTCCCATAATAAAAAGTTTTTAATGATAATAAAAGAAAACGTTGTCCCAATAAAATCAATTTTTTTTATCATATCTTCTTGGAATTGACATCTGCAAATTAATGCTATAGAGAAAATTTAATATTGCCTTATAAATTAATATTTATTAATCAAAAGCCTCACTGTTGCTATTTTTCTGGTATAGATATTATGTTCTCATTAAAAACTTTTCTGAAAATATACTTATTTTAAATTTCCTTTTGCAAACCAGAATTTAGTGCTCCCGATTTTTCACTTTTAACAGAAATTTACGTCGGCTGGTAAAAGCCAGACGCTCTTTCCAGAGTGAGTAGCGACATATTTAGCTCCGAAATGAAAATGTGTGTGCGCCGAATAAGCTCCCCTCAGCCGTCACTCGGCAAAATAAATCAGCATTAGCAGGCCCATCGAGCCTGGCGCGTGTGTTTGGGTTGCTCTAAAACGGCGGAGGGCAACTTGCACAGCTTCTTAATCTTCAGGCTGAGCGAGCAGCCGAGCGAGCATACTTGAGGGCTAATTTGTTGCTCCGTTCGCGCAAATTAGTGTTGATGCCGAGCCCATCTCTCACTGCCGACCAAAGTGTTACACACGCCGCCGCTCCTTTCTTGCCGACGGAGATTTGTTGCGCTGGATTAGCCGCTTTGATTGCGTTTAACGCCACCGGCCGAGGGATTTTAAGGGTGCACTGCAACGTCTCGTGCACGGGTTTGCCGACCTTCTTTTGACAAAGGAGGTGAAGGATGCGCTAGCAAAGTCTGCGGTGACCTCTTGGGCATGCTTCACAATTCCTTCAAAAGTTCCTTCAAAGTTTTTTTTTATTAAACTTTACAATTTAAAATTTATTGCAAAGGTAGAAATGAACCAAAAAGTGAAAGAACTATATGGATTTTTGAGCTAAGAATCGCATATTTACAAAATATCTTTGTAACTTTCAAAGGGTATTAAAAAAGAATGAAAAAAATGAAGGATAGAAAACTATTTTAAATTCCCAAATAAATTGAATTTTTGAAAACTTGTAAATCATAACCATATTTTAGGACAATTTCATTCAATATTATTTTTATATATTTCAAATCATGTTTATATTTGCTTCAATTCATAATTTAAATAGAATCAGTTTCATTTTGTTAAAATTGGAATAATTAATCTTTCCTTTTTGGACGTTTCTTAGAATTAATTCAACCCGTCTGGCTTTTCCTCTCATAAGAAACACGACAAGTTTTTACCACGCTCTCGACTTCCACTCGCTTCTCAGCTGCAAATTTTCTTGGTTAATGCGCTCGAATCGAATATAGCAGCCGCTGTTGTTATTGTGTGTCCCTCAAGTAAATAAACCCGATTGACGAGAGAGAGGAAGAGGTCAACTCGTCGTGCACATTAATGCCCAAGCATTATTCATCCGCATTGATTAACCAAAGGGTCAACCGGCCGGCAACACTCGCAGCCTGGCTGCATGTGACGCGAACCCTAAACGGAAAGGTTTCCACTTGCGCTCGACACCGGGTCAGGGGTCGGGTCGGAGATCCCCGACCAGGGCAATCGGCCCTTGGCCCCGGCGTCATCCTCATTACATAAAAACTGAGCGACACCGTAGCTGATCTTTGCGGCCCCAGTCTGCCCAGAGAATATTTATAAAAAAATAACACAATTTCACGCCGCAACTGTCTGGAACTTCCTTCTCTTTTAGTTATAAATTTTGTCTGAAAGAGAAAGCTCAGAATTTTAAAATAATAATAAATTTGTGTGTAAACATTTTAAACTTAAAAATTTTGCAAATAAATTGAACAAAATTTTTTATAGTAAAAAAAAATTCCCCTTGCAATCTTACATGGTGATTTTTAACAATTTGAAATGCACAACTTTTAAATTCAACTATATAAACTAATTGAAACTGTGAAATTTCCTAATAAATACATATTATGTTGTGAATTTTTTCAAACAAAAGGTCTGGGTTCAATTTATTGTCTCCTGGAATTTCGGGATGTATCAGCAGGCGCCGTTTTTGCCGGGTGTTGCAGTGCAGAGGCAAAATGGCCCTCGACGAGCGCACGGCTGGAAAAACACGTTGGACGAGTCTCGAGCACCCGGTCTTGCGCGGCGTCGGCAGTAAAATCGCAGCGGCTAAATAATTTTTCTATTTCTGGTGCGTGATCTAAGTGGCGAGATAAAATAAAGCAGCAGCTTTTTCACGGAGCGCGCGAGACACAGCACAGGCAGCTGCATCCTCCTCCACTTCCTGTCGAGCTAGTGACCCTTTCGGAAATTCACCCCAGGACGTGACGTTGTCTCTCTCTTTCGCACCTCAAACACACATGCGCTTGTTTAGCCGGCCTTTAAACGCGAGCTTCCTCCTTTTATTGCACCCCTCCTGTGTCGCTCTCGATTAATTTTTCTTCGCCGCGTGCAGCCGCGCAATTCGATCGGACCATGATTAATTTTTCGGTGCCGCCCTCCGAAGCCAATCTGACGACGCATCTCTCGATTGTACAGCAGGCCAACGACTCGAGCACTCTCACCCACGATCAGCCCCAAATCGATTTGTACTTTTGTTGTATCCCATGGCTAACTTGCTGTCTGATTTTGATATCTCTAGATTTCTGTATCAAATAAATTCCCTTTTGATGGATGACGAGCTTTTACTTGCGGTGATTAATATTTTAATAAACTGCAGATAGGACGCATTCCTAATTTTTTAAATACACAGCATTATTTAAAAAAAAAAGACAAATAATTTAAATTACAATAAAATATATGACAATTTTAGTTCACTAGTGTTTATTGATTAATTTGATCATTAAAAGAACAGATTATTACAACATAAATTAAGTTTTGTCAGAAAGAAAAAAATTGGATCATGCTTTTAAAATTTGATTCAAAATTAACACCACTTTGATCCAATTTTCCTCCTCATTTATTTTCTTGTGTTGAATTAGTTACAATTCGTGATTTTTGTGTTCGCAGGTCTTCCAAGCAACTCTGGAGGCAGCAAAGGACCTAACCCCACGCCACCCCCAGGTCTTCCACCAGGTGGCAAGCACCGAAGCGGCAGCGGCTCGGCGCCACCGCCCCTCACCGGAGCACTCGCCTTGAGCGCCCACCAGGCGCAGACTTCGCAAGTGTCCCAGCCGCCCAGCGGTGGCACCGGAGGTCGCTCCTTTGCAGCAGCTTTAAGGAATCTAGCCAAGCAGGCCATCCCTGCCAACGGTTTGTCAGTTCAAATTAAATAAAGACGTTGTTTTGACTTAACAAAACTTTCAGAAAGGGAATCAGAAAACTCTGAATCGTCCCGACAAGTGTCTCCGAAGCGCTCTGGTCCTCCACCTTTGGTCAGGGGAAGCAGCCAACCATCTCCTGGACCTGTCAATAGCAATAGCAGGCAGCCCAGTCCACATCTCAATCATGACCAGCGCAAGGTAAATTAACAAAAAATCAAATTGCTCACTATTTATTAAATTATTAATTCAACTTTGATTTTTTATTTTGGAGCTACACTTTAAAGGAAATAATGTTAAATAATATTTAAATTATTTTCAGCATCTCTCTGAATTGGGTCCGCCACACCGAGCTCCAGCAGTGACTTCTACCTCAGCCCCCACTTCAATCACTCCTTCCTTGTCACGCCCCGATGAAGTGCCTCCCCCTCCCTTGTTCCGAGCTCAGGACCCAAATGTGTCGGCAGCGTCTGCCCTTCCAAACAGGGCAGAAGACCTGCTCACCAGTGGCTTCCAGCCGTACCGGCCGGAGGACATGGCCCGCATGGCGCCTCCCTTTGGCATCGACCCAGCAATGGCCGCTGCCTATGCCGCTCCGTACCACCACCCAGGCCTGTATCCTCCGCCACCACACTTGCCTTACCGCCTGGAAGACCAGCTGTATTTGGAACGGTGTGGCATGCTGAGGCCCCCTATGTTCCTGCCAACCCCAGGTTTGCCTACTTACCCCTTGTACGGACTGAGGTATTCTCCGGAAATACAACTCTCAATGATGAATCCTGCCTCGGCGACAGCAGCCATGCACGAAAGGTAAAAACGATGTAATAGCAATGAAGGGTGATGGAAACAATGAAACATAAATTATTTTTCAAAATCTAAAATCTAAATTGAAAGCTAACAACTGATTATATTAACTGCCATAATAAATGAACATTTTTGAAAGGCTTTAGTGAAAAATTTTAAGCTTACCGAAGATTTACATTTCCTACAATTATCAACAAGATGAATTAATCAAAGAAGTGTTCTGAATAAGGTGGAGACTTGTCATCATATTCATCAAAACCATCATTCTCTTGTAGGATCAATACTAAAATCGAGCCTTGGCAGCTTCTTGTAATTCAGCCCTTTTATGTGCTTTATTGTCAATCAGCTTCTTTTTTTATTAAAAAAAAAAATAAGGGCATTTTTTTATATTTTAAGCTTTTCCTGTTTTTCCCTTTAAAATTTGCATTTTATTTGCAAATCTCAGCTTTTAATGTCACTCGATGATGAATATCACAAAGCATGGTTTTTCGTATATAATTTTTGGGTTACCAATTCCGGATAAGTGCTGCAAAAGAAACTTGTATTACTGTGATTATTTTTTCTTCAGACGCATGTCTGACAAAATTTCCTTTTTCAGATTCAAGTTGGAGGAAGAGCAGCGGCGGTTGCGGGAGGAGGAAAAGGAGCAGGCGGAGAAGGAGCGCGCGCAGAACCGCGAGCGCGAAAAACGTGCCGAGAGACACGAGCAGAAGCAGCGCGAGTCGTCGGCCGCGAGTGCGCGCGACTGACATTGGGAGAGCAGCGTCCACAGACCCGCGCTGTGCTCGCTTGTTCCCGCCAGGAAGGGGCCAGGCGTCACCGAGCCGGCCGCTAAGAAAGAGCAGCCCCCTGTAATTTCCCCGTCTTCGATCCCAACCCCGACGGCGACCACAATCGCCCAGTCGTCAACTGCGGTGCCTCCGACCAGATTGCCGCCCCCACAGCATCCTGCCTCTAGTCAGCCAGAGAAGCAGCCCCTACCGAAAGAGGCCGCCCCGCCCACCTTTGTGCGACCCTTCGAGGACTCATTCCAGCCAAAGTCACTGTCGGCGGCTCCGCCCGTCACTGTCGCCTTGCGCAACTCGCACACCCCGCCTGCTGGAATGCAATCCTCGCCATCCCAAGCAGCTCTTTCCCTGGCCCAACATGAGCAAGCGAGGCACGGCAGCGAGAAATCACTGCTCTGCGTGGACGCTGCTCCCAAACACTTGTTACCTACCTCGTCTTTGTCACCGTCAGTTCCACTTTGTGTTCCTTTTGTGCCTCAGTCCCCGAATCAACAGCCTCAGGCGGCGCCGCCGCTCCAGGAAGAAAAGCCTCCCCCGCAGCCCCTGCCACAGCGAACAGAAACCATCACAGCCGTGCTCAACGTGCCCAACAAGGCCAAGGTCATGGCCGCAGTCAAGGAATCAGCCGCTGCCAGCCACAACCACTTCCACAGGAACCTCCTAGCACAAAAAGTATGCTCACCTTTCTCAGGGTAGATTTGTATCTAAATTAGACAAAAAATACGTCTCGAAAAGATTAACTTGTCTTGTTGAAAAAAATTTAAGAAAGTACAACTTTTTACACAAATATTTGAAGGCAATATTTAATTGCATTTCATTACAGTTAAAACTTAACTAAAATGAAATTAATTCTCCGCTATGGATCCTAATTTTTGGATTTTTGATTAAGTTATTCTCAAATAGTACTTTATTGCAATTTGAATAAAACCTGCTCTTTCTTAATTAATGAAAACAAAACTAAGTCATTTTAAATTGAAAAATAATTTTAATATTAAGAAAGAAAAACTTTATTTTTCATTCATTTTGTATTGCAGCTTACAAATGACATTTGTGAACAAGTGCCCGTGACCAGCAAACTGGATTTGGCGGAAAAGCGCCGTAGAGACCGTCGAATGAAGATGAACGGTGGAGTGCCTGTGCAGGCCGAGGAGCGGCAAAATCACCTCCCAGCTGGTCTGCTTCTCAATGGCAACAGCATTTTTGCGTCTTCAGTGTCGACAGGCTCGTCTGACTCGGAACAAGACTGGGACTCTGATGGAGAGACTGGCAGCTGGCGACAGCAGCATCTCCTCTTGACCAAGGGTCCGCCCTGCAAGCTGGAAATAACGCCTCAAAAACTGCACTTCCTTCAGATGTTTGGCCTCACCACGTTGGCGAAAAGAAACGGTTTGTAATAAATGTTGATTTTAAACTATTTTTATTATTGTTTTAAAATTCAGATCTTGAATTGGCCAAATGCGAGAGACGTTTCATAAGACACTGGGAAGAGTACAGTTCGTTGCCTTTGGAGGTGGTAGAGGAAGAACCTGAAGAGGTCAGTCCTCCACCACCCGAGTTGCCCTACCCTTGCGGCTCCCCAGACATACTGAACAAATCGTCTGATTACAACTCAAAAATCTGCTTCCTCCGCTACTTAAATTTGGAGCCAATCACACCAGCTAAAAGAGCAGGTTAGTTTTGACAACCTGTCCAGCCCAATCGGCATAATTATTTCCAAAATCTAGGTCTTTACTTTATTTTCATGGCTTGTTTTTTGAAAGAAAAATAAAATAAAAATAAATAAATAAATAATAATAATTATGAAAATAATTCTTTTATAACAGAACGAGAGGCTTCATGGCAGCAGATTCTTTCCGAAAGGGTTCGCCGCAAGAGCATCAATGCAGTGGTCTTGTACACGAGTCAGCAGAACCAGTTGAAGAAAGAGGCGACTGCGGAAGAAGCGTCCCTACCAAAAGCGCCGCCCTCCAAGAGCAGACTGAGCAAAATGTGCAGCCCAAGCAGCCAACTCCTGGTTCCTCGGCCCTCCCGACCCATTTCACCCGTCAACAACGGGGTCATGCGCCCTTCGGTGTCCAAACTGTCCTGTTTGCTTCCCGTTGCCCAGCGACGAGCTAGCAGCAGTGACGAGGAGGAGATTGAGGTGCCCACAAAGGTGCCAAAGTGGACTGGAATTGAAGAAGTGATGGAGGCGTACCAAAAGTACTCTAATGGTCAGTTTATGGAAATCAATTTCTTCATTTTTAGAAAATTAGCTCTTAAAATAAAATAGCCATGTTATGTATTGTAATTTCTAATTCTCAATCATCTTTGATGAGATCTTCAAATTTAAGGATGTTTGTTTGTGTTTTAAATAAATATCAAATATTTACTTCTTTGTCCCTTTTGTTTTCAGAGTGCTCTTTGGAGGCTACTGTGCTTCGTGAGCAGTGCCAGCAGATGCACCAGCAGCTGATGGAGGGTCGACAAAAGGCCGAGCAGCTGGACACTCGATTGCGCGAACTTGTGGCTCGCAAGAACATGCACGAATTTGAGCGCCACCAGATCCAGTCGGCGCTGGACCAACTGAACTCGTGTCTTCATAAATTAAGGTAGCACCACCACTCAACTACACACGGGCAGGAGCAAAGCTGTGATACATTAATAGAGAAAGAAGAAGTTAAAAATTAATTTTCCGTTAACTATTTTTCCTATTCTTTCCTCTCATGGCAACCAGCGCATCAAGATAGAGAAAAATTTAAATTAAATAAATCCTCTCTTGCGTATGTTATTCAATTTTTGTTTTGTTCGGTGTGTGTAGAAATTTTCTTCTGTCAAAGACATTCCAAGCGAGTAACGAGGAATCCCACCACGCTGAAGTTTCTGTATTTATTTTTAACTCGAGTAACAAACTGTTTCATGACAAAGTAGCTTTTTCCGTAGAAAATGAACTGCAGTTTTGTTCTAACTTGCTGAGTTTGTTCTTTTTTTTCTAAGAATTTCTTGAGGAGAGATGCTTCACTAGTCCAGGGAATTCTCTTTTTTAATTACCTTGAACGAAAAAAATTGTATTTGCAGTTGTCTTTGCCTAATTTTACAATTAACTGACACACAAGTAATTGAGTTTTGCTGGCTTAGCGCACATTCCTTCAACATTTAAGTGATATTAGGCAAAATAATATCTGTTACCAACCCCACCCGCCCCCAGCCTTTTTTCGAATGATTAGTTTTGTTCGATTTCCTTTGCTCGCAACTACTTGAGCAGCAAATCCAAAGTGTTTTTAGGTTTTTTTTAATGTAAGAAAGAAACAAGTGGCGTTCATCTTATTTTGTTGTGTTCGAATAAGTGGAACCATCGGAAATCAGAGGCCATATCATGTCATGTAATATTCCTCAACATGCAAGCTGATTCATGAAGTGATCTTATCCGGATTGATTCTTTTTGAAGGATTTTGTAATTAAAAAAACAAAAACAAACAACCTACTTGGTTTGCATCGAAATCGTTTTTTGTTTCGAAATAATTATTTGTTTATTTTGACAAAACGAAATCTTGTATGGCTGTTAATCCTGTTTTTCATCATACACTGCGTGCGTGTATTTTATTGTATGTTTGTAACAAATAAATATCTTTGTAATATTTGTACTTTACAAAAGCTGTAGCATTTTAGACGACCTGTGTAAGGAGCATGTTTTGTGATGGGCATTTTTTGAGGATACCCAGAAAACATTGAATAAATGAAGTTGAAAGGCAAATCTAAATTATCTTGCTTTTTAATCAATTTAACTTCCAGCCCAGCAGCAATTTGCTGACAGCAAAAAAAAAATTATGATTTAAACAAATTCATTCATCAAATTTTTTTTTACAGTGATCATATATTTTCAAGAATATATTTAAATTAAAGGTGTAAAATTGTAATAAAATTAAGTTGGATACAAAACTCTTAACATCTTTATTAATTAAAAACATATCTCTCGTCAAATAGCACAAAATCACAGGAGCAATTTTTTTAAGTAAACCGTTTTTCTGTCATTTGAGAGATGAATGATTACATAATTATACACGTAGAGCAGTTTTCCGTTTTAATTTAGATTAATTAAGTATAGGCAAGAAAATACAGTTGATTATAAAATGATTTTTAATGGCATGGTAACTGAATGCGCTTTAATTAATTAAATAGATTCGCCTCGTTGCGACTCACTCGCTCATTCATTATCTCACACGTTCATCCTTTTTTTCTCTTTCACGGCAATAATGGCTTCCAGTGTGAATCTACAATAATTTCCAAAATTTCACGGTCCGCGTGTGCCAAAAAGTGGTCATCAGTCAGACTTCAGGCGACGGGCTCGCAGTTTTGGTTCAACTGTATGCTTCCTCGCTGACATCTTCCCTTGTGGATGTTGAAGACCGAGCCCTCCGGACACACATACTCAGCGGTGCGACCATCACTCAGACAGGAAAAATATTTCTGAAAAATTGAAGATTAGAAAATTGTTATTTATAATGCATAACAGAAACAGCAAAAGGAGTAAATAGAATATAATTATTAATAAAAATGATAAATTTTATAAAATTATTTTTTGATTATTGTCCAAAAAATGAGGCTGGTGCGGCGCGGTTTAAATTTTAAAGGAACCTCCTGATTACCTCGGAAATCTCTATAACATCATCCGTGATGCAATTCTTTTCATATAATCTGAATTTAGGGAACATTTGCCTATGGGAGACATTTATCTGATGTAGGCGAAAAATAGCGCGGCTGAAGTTGTTTTTGCTGCACCGATGTGCGGCGCCGATTTTCGGTGCCGATTTGCGGCCCCGTTTTGCGGCGCCGATTTGCGGCACCGATTTGCGGCACCGATTTGCGGCCCCGTTTTGCGGCGCCGATTTGCGGCACCGATTTGCGGCCCCGTTTTGCGGCGCCGATTTGCGGTGCCGATTTGCGGCCCCGTTTTGCGGCGCCGATTTGCGGTGCCGATTTGCGGCGCGTATTTGCGGCATCGACTTTGAAATTAAATTTCAAATTTAGTGACCTTTGACCTACACAAAAATAAACCGCCACCAGCATCGAAAGCGCGACGTAAATTTACTTTTTAGTTACTCTCTTTTTCCCCAAATTAGACGTGCGGGCGGACTTTGAGAGTCGGTGACGGTAAAACTGCCGGCAAATGACACGCGAAATAAAAAATAACGGCAAGAAGAAGTGAAAGCATCCGATTGTGTGGCGTACTTTTTTGGTTTAGATATGCCACAAGTCAAAGGGAATTGTTCCTTCCTCGCCCACGACGCGTGAAAATTGTTTGATGTGAAAATGAGATTATTATCCACGCGTATATTATGGTTATTGAGAGGCGCCTTATGCAACTAAATTCACTGAAACGTAACGCGCGCGTTTCCATAAATGGACCGAAAACTGCTCCATTGTGATAATATGGATAATAAAAAATAATCGGCAGGCGCGCCCATCGCCCTTTACCAGAAGATACACAAAAGTTTTGAAAGTTTCAATTATTTTTAACAAAGAAATATACATTATGTGACAAAGATTAATGGAAAATCATTAATCAGAAAGTATAAAAAACCAGAGGCGCATTATTTAGTCTGAAAAGTTTTCGTAAATAATTTTCATGCTGCCCCAATTTTTTAATATCAAAAGTATAATAGAGTGGAATAGATAGAAGCCTTTGAAATTCTATCTTGATGTGTAATATTTTTTACTGTACGCTTTAGATAAAAAGAGATGGAAAACTTTTTATTTTTAAAAAATAATGTAAATAATTAGAAAAAATTTAATGACTTGTTTTTATTCCTTTTATAATTTATTTAAAAATTAATAACCAAATCTGTGGCAACTTGTATTTTTCTCTTCCAATAATGACAAAATGTTGATCTGTGAATTAAATAAAATTAAATACCTTGCAACCGCTGTTTGAAGCAGCGTAGACTTTTCCAATCTCAACTCCAGGCGCTGAACACGATGATGGAGCGGCAAAGACCTCCCTGACTTTGGACTCGGCAGGGCTGGTCTCGCCTGCGGTTCTCCTCCTCAGTCGGTACAGGTCGTCGTCCAGAAGACCTAGATGCTGAGGGTACAGGCTGTTGGAGGCGGGAGGGTTGTAGTAGTTGGCGTAGGCAGATTGGTAAGGGGACCGCAGGTGTAAAAGTCCGTTCGAGAAGCTGCTGCCGGGGCTGTAAAGGTTCGAGTAGCTGGACGACTGCAAAAAGTCCAGGGCGGCCGACGGCTTGAAACCAGTCTCGAAATTGCCTGGAAATTAGTTATTTCAAATAGCATCATCTTATTTTTAGTGAATTTTGAATTATTGGCATTTAACTAGTTTATTTTTCTTTGTGTATTTTATAAATTAAGCCAAGGACATTGAAAAACGTCCAGTTTACTGAAATTTGAATATTTTAATTACTAATTGGAATTGGAATTTTCTATAAAACAATTTTTACTCTAGATAAAATCATAATATTTAAAAAAAAAATAACCGGAATATTAAACTATGAACAAGTTCCAACTTTTTGAAGAAATAAGTGGTTTTAACCTGATGAGATATCCAAAGTATCCAAACCCACACAGAGTATGCATTTATTTTATGTTTAAATTCAGTCTTAGTAATAATAGTTTAATGGCTATTGACAAAAATAGCTTAAATTTCTATAAATAATATAAATAATGTAAGTATTAATAATATTATTATAAAAAATATTTAAATTAAAAATTAAAACGAAAGAAAGCAAAATAAGTGAAAATAAAAATATTTTTAAATAAAATAAGTAAAAACATTTGAGCAATAATATTTGATTAACTAAAATTACAACAAAAATTCGAAGCTGCCAATGAAAATTTTTTGTATCATGCGAAACTCACCATAAGTTGAATACTGGAGCTGTTGAGGCAGGAAACCATAGGACGAGGCGGCGTCAAGTCGCTGGGACGTGGAAAGGGCCTGTGGTCTGCCGGCAAAAGTTCCGGCGCCGTACCTGGTGACGACCTTTGGGTAGGCAGGACTCGGGTAGGGCCTTCGGACGGTGCTGGGGGTTGGCGGAGGCACTGGAGGCAGGTAGGCGTTGGTGGGCTGTGGGGCGGCAACGTGTTGCGTGCTGGTCACGGGGTTGACGTACTGGTGCGTGCCCTGGCCGGCCGTGGCCTCGAGGGAGGCGCCGCCCAAGGACAGAGCGGGGCCAGGGATGGAGCGGTGGTAGTGGTGGTTCAGGTGCAAAGAGCCGATTGGCGGCCGCAGCAGGTACGTTGACTGCACCGAACGCGGGAAGGTCGGGTATGAACGTCCCTCCGGAGGAATGTAACGACCTTCGTCTTCCTAAAGTTTTGCAATGGAAAAAAAGACAGTTTTTTATAGGAAAAGACGCGCACTTGGAATATTCTAACCGAGATAAAAGTAAACTTATCAATAAATATTTATTTTGTAGTAGAATTTATTGACGATTGATTTCAATCTGTTGTAACTGAAAAAAAAACGACAGTTATGCGTTTTCTGAGCTCTTTCATTTTACTATTTTGCAAGAAAAACTAATATTATAAAGACTAACTTGTAATTTTTAAATATATTCAAAATGATGTTTTAAAACTCAATTTGGCTTAAATAGTGCAAAATTGAAACTTGAAACTAATTAATAATAATTATTTTCCTCAAAAGTTTTTTAATTTGACATAAAATTAATTTTCTACACTTTGGTATTTCTTGGCAAATTATGGCATAGTCAAAATATTTACATCAATAATTATACAAAATCATAATGACTATTTATAAACCTCACTGCCTTTCGAGAAATGAAGAAACTACTTCATTGAATTGAGGTTTCTTGGTAAAAGGAAAATTATATAATTTAAATTTTACAAAAAAAATTTGTAACGTTTGAAGAAATTAAGAAAATAGAAATAATAAAAATAATTAAAAAATTATTAAACTTACTCAAAAATGTTATAAATTAATGTAAATAAAAGGAAGCTTTTTCAGAATTAAAAAAGGTTTTATAATATAATTACTATATTAATATTCTTAATTTTAAATAACTCTATTAAAACAATTTTTTATCTTTCAAAGTAATGAGAGTAACTAACAGAAAAGCACTTTATAATTGTGAATTGTAAATTAAATAAAAATAAAATATATCAATTTCACCTGCAAGATTTTGATGAGCGTGTATTCGGTCTCAGGGTCGTGCGCCACCCTGACGACCGAGTTGGACCTGGTGTCGAGACTGACGCCATCAGGCACGGCCACTCCGAGTTTCTGCAACTTGTTCAGCGCCAGTCGGTCGGATCGGAACGCGGATTCGGGGATTTTTCCGCCGTTGTGCGGCAACACTTGCTCGCGGAAAATCTGTCTTTTCGTCTGGAACAAGCGAAATATACACGAAATTTGGTAATTAAATTCAAATAATTTTGCAACATTTTTTTGCAGAGAAAAAGACCCTCTACAAGAAACCAAAATTTAAAAAAAAACCTTTTGTTGTTAAGAAATTCTGGAGCACGATTTAAACGGTTTCTTAGCGCACGTCGGCACCTGGTACGGGCATAGAAATAAATTATCTGTGTAATATCGCATCCCAGTTGATTATCATAAGTAGATTGGTTGGGTTATTCGATCTGATTTCCTTCTCCCATTGCATAATGGCTATCTAAAGGTTCGCTGACACATGCTTTGTAATGGAAATGATTGTGCAGTGATTGTACTTTATTGCTCCTGTGAAAGCCGAACAATATACTCTGCTTATTTACAATCATAGAGTGCATATGTTTAAAAATTACTCATGGTTTTATTTAGCAAGAATTGAGGTTGGCGTTTTTTTCTATTCAAATTTAATCTGAAACCTTTTGTAATGCGCCAGTGTATGTTTAATTTATTTATTTATTCCTCATTTATACATTTAAATAATACAACTTTTTACATACACTATTTAGATTTTTCAAATAATCCTTAGATATGATAATCTTCAAGAGCACAGTTTTTATAATAAAATAAATAATATTAACAATATAAAATTAATTACACAGAAATTGACGCGCAAAGTGCATAAGTTATAATAATTTCTATGAATTATATCCAATATTACAAATGTTTAAATTTAATAGTTAAAAACTGTAAACATTTTTAAATAAGTTTAAATTAATTAAAATAAAATACAAATTTAAATTTAAAAATGTAAATAATATTATTTTTTTTCTTACAAACTTTAAAAACCAAATTAATAATTTACTAATATTTAATAATAATGTTTATTGTTAAGTAGGATATTTATTGCTGACATTTATAAATTTCAATCAATTTAATGCTCTTCCGGATGTGATAAAAGCGTCTGTCTTAAATTATCTGGCTCTCGATCTCACCACTTTGTCAGCATCCAATTCAAGTCCCGTCCCGCGTGCACATACATTAGAATACCGCATTTTTGGCGTGCCGACTGTCAAATTTATCTTGTCTTTTACGCGAGATAAAGCATTTTAAAAGCGCCGCACGCGCTCGACTCGGCGGTTCTCATCTCTTCCGAAATTGTTTTGCGGTTCCGCTCCAGCGACGACGAGAATCGCTCTCTGTATAATAACAAGGCGAGTGCGAAATGCTGATGCTGCGATAACAGAGACGGACACAGCGGATTGTTTTCGTAACCTTTCACTCCGCCACCACTTCTTAGCGGGGCGATCACGAGCGAGGCGAAATTGAATTTATTCAGCACAATTAGACATGTTCAAAGTGTTACACAAAGCGTGATAAATCTTTCAGACGCCGGACTGTCCGTCAAAGGGCGAATTTAAAAAAGAAAAAATGAATTTTCCGATGGCGTGACAAGTGAAATTAAGGTTTGCTGTTTTAAAACATCAAAAGCTCAATCAAGTGCAGGGAATTGTTTTATTCAGGTCGCAGATTTGGCTCATTGTTATGTAAAACATTATGATTAAGATTTGTGCATTTTAATTTTGGATATTATACATTTTTTTAATTATTCCAGTAAAAATTCTAGTTGAAAGCAACAACCAGCAACAACATGAACCTTTAAAAAAAAAATATTTATGTCTAATTTAACAGAATTAAATCAATTCCAAAGATATACCTTATAACGCTTTATAATATATTTTATTTTTATTAATTTTTTCCCTCAATTTACTCTATCAAGCTTATTTATAAAAGTCCCTTTGAACGTTCATAATTAAAGGAAGGAAGAATTCCAAGGTTTTTTGATGCTTCATGGAATAATTCAATAATATATTTAAAATAGGCTCATCTAGAGTCCACAAAATAAAAAAAATTCACTTCCAGTAAAAACATCAACTTTACAATATCCATGAGTTCCCATTTACAAAGCAGTGAAATTCCCTCGAATGAAATTTCCAAGCTACATTATTTTCAATCGAGATGCTGGCTGGCGAGACGGCAATCGTTTAGAAGGTGAGCAACAAAAAGAAATAATGTTGCATTGCCGCATCTGCAAGCATTAAACGCGAGACGAAGTGCGATTGCATCAGGCAAATCGTGTAATTGACGCCGCCAGACGACGTGCTGGAATTTTACTGATTCTCTCTAAAACATGTGCTGCTTGAAAGTAAAATAAAATTGACATGGAATTTTAGTCTCCAGACGAAGCAAAAAATCCTTCAAATTACATTAATTACATCAATTACAATCAAATAAAAGAGTTAAAAATAAATATACATGTTCACCTTGAAGTGTAGTGATGTAAATCTTCAGCCTAAGGAACATGAATCCAAAAAATAATTGTAAGAAATATGATTTAACTCCAACAATTTGTTCAAATTAAATAAAAAACAAGTATAAAGTCTACCTTATTATCTGGTTTTAATGAGAAATTTCAATGTATAAAAACAAGAAAAATTTAAAAAAAATTAGAAACTGTGGCTAAATTAATTAGTAATATAATGAGCAAATTTTTTATTCAAATATTTAGTACCTTTTTCTAAGCGCCCTGATATAATCTTAACTTTGCGTTTCAATAGGTTTTGTGGATTATAATTTAAAATAATATGAAAGGCGTCGATTGAGCAATCGGAAGATTATCCAAACGCGATAAACGATGTAAAACGTGGTGCGTGCAGCGTGCACTCACCTTCCTCAAAATGCACTTCTCTTTAGGTGCAGGTTTCACGCCACTTTTCTCCATAGTAAACAAACGCTAAACGCGGTCTAATGTATTAAAATGCACCAATTACTAGAGAGTCAAAATTATTATGATCATCATCGCAGGTTCGTTCGCCTCTGCTAAATGAAAGTGGAATTTTTCTTTCATTGCTTTTTTTTATTTTTATATTTTCATGCATGCAGTCTCGGCGAGAGGCCGCCCGGAGATCGGTCGTTGATGTTTTATGGCGGACACATGCAGATCAGTTTGCAACTGCATTCCGCACGCATCCTGCTGCATGCCCGCGACCTGCAGAGAAAGCGAAAGCGATTTCAGGGAGAAGCGGCGGCGGGTGCATCAGGATGTGAATATTAAATGATATTGTATATCAATCAGTGCATATTACGACCTGAAATGTAATACACGGTCGTAAAAGTGATACGACGACTCCCGCAAGCACGTTTAGAAATTTCCTGAAATTTCGCTTTTCGAAATGCAATTTAGTGCAGCAGGCTTGTTAATCCTTTATTGCAAACGAGTTCCCACACTCTTAAAAACGGAAACAAGATATTTTTTTTCTTGTAAAGACGGTATAAATTAAAATTTATTGTGTAAAAAGTTAATTCTTTTCTATAGAATGAAAAATATGATTAAATTTTGATGTGACGTTGTTCAATGAAAATAAGCAAATATTAAAAGCTGTTTGTTTATTTTGTTAAATTATATTATTATGCTTTGAGAAATAAAAAATTATTTGTAAAATTCCAAATCCAAAACCATTGTCATTCTTTTGAGTGTTCAATTTTATTGAATCAAGAATAAAAAATAAATTAACACTTAAAATTAACTTAATTTAATAAAAATTTCCAGACCAATCATCGCATTCAAAGAGAAATTGGATTTTTCGGAGCGGTTCAAATTATGCGCGCGGTTGTTATTTAATTACACCACCCGCAATATAATTCGTATTATTATCCCGTAATATCATTTTACTGCGTCGTGAGAATCCAGCATGCGCGGAAATTGGAGTCGAGAAATGCTGCACTCGTTTTACTCCTCGCGGCTTCTCCGACTCTTCGCCGGCAGGTGTGTAATTCAGGAGCCTCACTCTCTGCGTGCGAGAGAGAGCGACAACAATAATAAACGCGATAATTGTAATTATATTCACTTGCACGGGGGCAAGAGTTCCTGTCGATTTTTACTTTGGTATTACCCGTTTCCCTTTTGTTTCTTCAAATTAAAATTCTTCATTTGTTTACTGTGGGAACGCTGGGCAGAGAAAGAGAAAAGTGAAATTGAGCTCTCTCATTATTTAAAATTTATATATTATAAATATATAATATTTGTGATGATATTTTTAAATTTTACTTATTTAAAAATTAACTGCACAGTTTTTAACAATAAAAATCCAAATGAACTATTTTTAAATTTGATCATATTAGTAACAAATTTATTCTAAAATAAAAAATTATTTAGAAACATATTTTTAATAGTTATTTCATTACAATAATTAATAAATTAAATACTCTATTGAAATTCATACATGTCATGTATTTTACAGATAATGTAATTTAAATTAATTGAGGTATTTAGCTTAAATAGAATTTTGCATTTGTATAGTTAATTAAAATGTTTGAGTGAGGAAAGTATGTTTCACTTAAAAATTGAATATATTTAAGAGATACCTGTGAGTTTACAAAAATAAATATAAAAAAATATATATGTTTCCTACTTTAAATTTTCGCCAATTACGTGCAAATATTAAATAAAAAATAAAATAGCAAATTTTGCTATTTTATTTTTTATTTTTTAACAACCTGCGTTCTCACATTCAGACAAGAACAATCAAGTAATCATCAGCAATTGGCAGATTAAACTACAACTATGCGGAAACCTTTCCCATAAACGTCCACATAATGGTTCCTTTCACGCGCCGGTTTCGTCGTTAAATAACCACGAGAGGCGTAATTTTCATTATTTCCCTGCTTTGTTTGGGCTCTGCGAGAAATCAGAAACAGTTTTGCCTGCAGAGAGAGCGCGCCAGTGATTTTTGTAGCAAAATGCATCAGATGTTTTTCTATTTTACTGCTCATGTTGTTACGTTACGGTCCAGCGCACCTCTCCATAACATGGAGTGCATAGGCCACCGAAAGCAGGAAATTGGTCTATCTATACGTAGTTGATCTAGTATTACGTGTCAGAATAATAATTTGCTTTCTAAAGGTAAAATCTAAAAGCAAAAATTCGGATCACGTGAGCT